AAGTGGCGATTTTCGTATTTACTGGGAAATGAACAACTGTCACACGCATCAAGTGAGAAGGACCTGGACATCACCATTCAAGAAAACTTAAGCTGCTCACACAACCTTTTTTTACACACCCGCGTGTGATGAACAGCAGACGGGGCGAACCCCATGGTAGCGAGGACCTGCTGTTCAGTGGTGGTAACCAGCAACCTAAGCNTGGAGTGACGAACCACATAAGGCCCCGATAGGTTAGGCGTGGTATTGAACGGGAGGACAGCAGAGCTGCCTACCACCGAAGTCGGGTGGCGGGGTTCGAACTTTGGACCACTGGGTCCAAAGCACGCCGGTGACAGCGACTGAACCACTGCGCCACCACCACGTAAAAGTATTGGACGCAGTTGTAAGGAATGTTGGTTTGCTTACGCGGGTCTTTGGTCGGTTTGAGTCAGCGCTTTCCCCGTCTACTATCAGCATACATTCGCCCACTCACAGAGCACGCTATCCAGGCATGGAATCCATGGCTACAACGTGACTGTAAAATGCTGGAGTGTCCACAAAAGATGGCCACCAAAATGGTTAAGGGGTTGAATCGCTATTCATAAGCAGAGAGACTGGAATCGTTGGGGTTATAGTACAATCACTACCGGCGCATCAGAGGAGATAAGATTATGACATACTAAATAATGCAAAACTCAAGCCATTCGTGTCGCCCGCTGCTAAAATTATCACCCAACGTTCATCTTAGAGGACATCCGTTTAAACTAGTGGTCCCAAAATGCCGATTGGAATGCCGGCGTCAGTCATTCGCAATCAGAGTGTTTTCCATCTGGTACTCTCTCCCACCGCACTTCGTCTGTGCCGCATGCATCAAATCTTTCAACCTGAGACTCGATGGAATATTAGCACACCTTACATTCCAATATAAGTGAAGCTGCGTGCAGCAGTAATAGAATCCCGTATCTTGTGATATTTTACACATGGAATTGTATGTATCACAGTCTTTCAACCACAACACGAACCTTTGAGACGAGAAAAGCTAGAGCTTGTAAGTTATTCCCACAATAAATCTTCCATCTTTGATCCTTGCTTCGTTGAACACGATATTCTTATACATTCTCGTTTTCAAATGTCAAATTTAAGGACGTGAGGAGGCCTTCGCCTTTGAGGTATTCTGGTAGTGGTGTGTTCTGTCCTCAAACTGACTCACCTGCCAGTTGGTATTGTTACCGGTTTATCCGCTTCGGCATTATCTGGTATTGGAGAGAGGAAAAAGAGATAACGCAGGTTCTGTTTCTTGGGAGGGGGCAGGGTGAGTTATCATTATTAAAAGTCTGAAAAGAGGGAGCTCCACACTAAGTTTAACTAGTGTTGAAAGGTCGGGACCGATTGGCATAATAGTATTGTTACAGGAAGCCGGT